TGACTGCCCATGCAGGTCATTATACATTATCCTTTTAGAGGTAAATGCTGTCGTGTAAAAATGCCTCTACTGTATCAGAAGCACCACTAATTCAAATGCGTTTTACTGTGTATCCAGGCCTCGACCTGGTGGTCTAAGTGCTGCGTACGCTGGTGAGGTCTTTGGTAGCGTGTTTATAGCTACTCTTGAGATGCTCCAGCGATTTCAGTTGTGTCGATGATGTAATGTAGGTGATTCCACTGAAACAGGCGCTACTTCTTAAGCTTTCTCGTCTGGAGTGATGACTTTGTCCGGAATTTGTGTATATGTTGGAATAGAGGTCCTGTGATGATTGTGGAAACGGGAGGGTGCATAGTAGTCTTCATTTTGCTTTTAGACGTGAGGTGAATTTCACGGCATCAAAGAATTTTGAAATCTTGGCTTCAGCGTTGCGGGTCATTGGGGCAACCGGTATTAGCCCTTCAATTCGTAATTGCAGTTCCGAAGTGTCCGTGTTGAGAGTGAATTCTAGTAGAGGTCCTGCTTTTGGAATATTCGTTGTAGTGCCGAACAGACCCAATGATATCGATGTGGTTTATTTTCTTGTTGTTTGCTCGATCAATGGGAGATGTAGTGTGTCACCTTCTCGCTGCTGGTTCCACCTTTTAATTGGGTTTACCTCATTCAAAGTTCATTTCAGGAACAAATCTCTCTACTCAGTAAAATGATCTCCTTTACACCAGGTTGGTTTGGCATGCCTGATACATTTAAAAATTAATTAAATCTAGTACTATTTACTACCCGCGTACCCGAAACAGTACTAATGCAGTCTATTGCAGTTGCCTTTAAGAGATATCTGGTTTCGTCTTTACATTTGTTCAAGATCGGGAGTGCCTCGCGCATGAGCTTTCAGCCCTAGCAATGAAATGGTTATAATGTAATGGAACTAGTCATGTGAAACGTGCTTTCGAAGCCATCGTTGGGAAATACTGCAAATGTTCTTAGTGTCTGCTAAGCCTGAGGCCATTGTAGTGGGGTTTCCGTTTTTCCCTTTCTTAATTCATTAAACCCTTCAAACTTGCCGCTGCGCAGCATTCCTTTGGAAACGTCCGGGATTTTTGTTTTATCACAACCACCTTCAGATATATGGATATTTGAAATTTTTAGTGGACTATCTTGCAAGCTTTCTTTCACCGTCCCTGCTAAAGTAATGCTGCAACAGTAGTGTTATAACCAGGTGATTTAAGATCCATACTAACTCATCTATCCGAGTTTCGTGAAGTACTCGCCGCTGCTAATAGAACTTCCACTCAGATCAAGTGGTTGGGGAGGGATCGATGTAAATTTCTCGAAGGTAGGTTAATTGCAGGACTCTAGTCTTCATAGGTGGGGTTCATTGATGATAACAACGCAGATGAGGGTCGTTTATAGGGGTGAAAACATTCCTTGTTTTTGACTGATACAATTGCTTTAGCCACGCCTTATTTTTTCTGATGACAACACATTTCGCCGTAGGAATGGGCAACCATTGTAAACACGAAATAAGCACTTTCGTTTTTTCGTGACCAGTGCAATTGAATGGTGCAATGCGAACGTGATTGCCACAGCACATCCTCTCTAATCAGTATCCAACGCGTTTTTATTGGCTTGTGACTGCTGTTTCCGCGGCACTACTACGACAATTCGATCAGGCCTTTGCAGTAACACTGTAGAATAAGTGAATATTGCGATATTAGGTAGCTGCTGGCTCGCTTTTATCGGCACACTAACTGCGTTCTTTATCTTGCACCAAGATCTAGATTGCATTTGGTTGGATTATGGTACAATTTAGGACTAATTTTTACTGATTTATCTACCTGTCAAATTACACTTTTAGAATAAGGGTTTCTGTCCACACCTCGACCTAGTTCAGGCGTCAATTGTCTAGACAACTAATTAACCTTAACACCACTGCACTATCCATCTCTCCAATGCATTTCAAAAATCTGGAACGTCCGGACTGAGAGCCCCGATGTCGGTGCATCTGGCCCCATTCCAGCGAGGTAGCGAGTAGAATGAGCACTGTGTGACTTATTAGGATGGTGTTAGTTTTACTATGATCTTATGGTGAACCTTAACGGTATAGCAAGCGCCCGTTGGTGCGCGTTTTCGTAACCCCTCTCCCCAGAGGTCGATTGCTATGTTGATAACCTATTCTTGTAATAGCCCTCACATTTAGAAATGAGAGGAATGAGAGATGACGGATACAAACTTAGGGTCTCCCAGTTATTTCATTCCTCTTTCAACATTAGCGACAATTTGTCGGTGCACTGCGCCCACCCATGTTGCATATTTATCTTCCTTGAAATGGTATTAATGGCTAAAAAACCAAAACTTCGAACGAATGTCCTTCCATTTCGTGAACTGCTAGGACTGAATGTGGATTCTATACTATGACCACCGATCACTATTTTTGGAAGGCTCTCAGAGATCATAGTTTTGACTAATGTGTGACATACCGGTAAGCGTAAAAGGACATCCTCTGAAGGCATAAAAATGTTAGGACTCCGTTTGGTTTGATGAATTGCAGTCTTAAATCGCCGTCTTATTAAGAGTGGGTGACAGCATCACCCACTTATTCCCCATCTGTAATATCAACAACGATAACGATTTGTATGGGAAAAATTTAGGACAATATTGTTGGTGTAAATACACTTTTTAATACCTTTATCATAACAACTTGCAGTCCATTTTGTGATGTATGAATAAAAGCCACTTGTCGGACAAAGAAGTTAAAGCGTGAGTCACCCATTTTGCTGAAAGTCGGATGTAATTAAAGAGGTGTTATGTACAAACTATAGGCTTGACAGTGCTAAATACTCACGAAAACAGACGAGGGATCGACTTTATTCGACCCACCTTTTCACGTTCCTGCATTTATGACAATGCAGAACCCTCCAAATGCAAGACGCCGTAGTCCAGTCGTGCACTGATGGACTTTGGGTCAATGTGATCTGGAATGTCGTACTCCTTTGAAAACTCACGGAAAGTACTCCGATTAGACTGTCTTTCCTCATGTCGTGCGCTTACGTAAACTCGATTATTCAGCGTTCGTATTTGAATTTCCTCCGGTTTGTAGTCACTTCCAACTGGAATTTCGACATGAAATTTGGGCCTTGTCTGTGTACTCAAAAATGTCGGAGTTGGTGACGCTCGTGATGAAAGATGGCTGTTGCGTCCAGTACCAGATAGAGTCGAAGGTGTAGTCAGTCCACTTGTTCCACTGCTGCCTGATGTAGTGTTGAATGAAAGGCTGTGAGTGGCTGACCCAATTGGTACGTCAACAAGCAGAATATTGTCAACACTGATTGAAGCTGTTATAAGAGGTTCTAGGGCTCCTTTGGGCAGATCCACAGTTTTGGTCACCTGCTTCGAGGTGGAGCTGGTACCGATGCGCTGCTCCCTAATTGCTGTCACGATAATCTGGCTGTCACGTACTGTGACATGGACATCATCCTGGTGGAAGGGCTGAACATCGAACTGCGCTAGAAAGTGCAAATTCCCGTCCACTCCGCGCTCGTAGTTGGTCACAACAGGACAGTCCTCGACGTTTGAAGGTGGAGAGTGGTGATGAGTAGGTACCGAGCTCAAAGTCTCAGGTCTGCTAAGTGGAAAGGCAGATGTGTTGAAAAACGATGAGCGCATCTCACGCATTTCAGCGTCCCATTGTCGACGTCGCTCGTCGAAACGTCGACGCATGTCCTCAAACCAACGCTCGCTGTCAGAGCGTCGCACGCCCATAAGGGAGTCATTGAAGCGACCAAAGAGGTCTTCATCGTGCGATTTATCTAGCCACGACGATGAGGAAGCGGATTTTCCCCCAAGAGTGCTATAGCCCCTCTCAGTAACTATGGGCACAGCAGTGGGCTGACGAGTTCCACTTGTGTCAACACGTATAGGGACCGACATTTCAGAGCGATATATAGCCATATAGGGTTAACACGAGTGATATAAATCGGAGCACAGAGTGGATTCTAGAACATGCTCCCGTTTCTCTAAAGTAAAAAAGCCAACCAGACCAGGAGAGCGTAAACGTGTGTATGAATACGTATGTAAATGTGTGTGTATGTATGTGTGTGTGTTTACGTAGGCACAGAAGAAAGCGAAAAAGAGGTAGGGCGCACACTCGCACTACCCTTGGCACGTACTGAGATGCAAGCGTTGCTGTGTCTGTGTGCGTGTGTGGGTGTGCACAGTGCGTCTCCTGCATGTACGTGCACGGGGCAACCTCGCACCCAGCGCGTCTGTCTGACCACGATCACGTACAGTGCCCATTGGTTCAGCTTGCGTGTCATTGGCTTTTAAATAACTCTCGTGGCCATGGCAAATTTGTGCGCAAATAAATCGATAAAGCCTGGGCCTTTTCTGTCTCTTCCGTGTTGTGGCCGCATCTTCAGCGTTTGTACATTTGTGTTCTTAAGGCGGCAAGCCACTAGGTTGCAACTCCGAAAGTATTAAATCACATGTGGTTCATTCTTGGTACTAAACTAGCTTTCAAGTTGAAAGTCTGCCTAGCAAAAGCCGATTGTCTCAATGCAATAACTAATTTTTTTATATTGGGGATTAAAGAAAAGTCTAGTTCTATGGGAAAATTAGTCGCCTGCACTCTATTGGTGTTTTTATGCTTTAGCAGTCGACGACTGCCTTACCGATAGCTCGCTTTGCTCTACTTTCGTTTAGGGGCGTGTCGTGTGGCTGCAAACTGCCGTCGGCAGTCAATTGTAAAATGAAACATGAGTATATTGGCAAGCGCAGCTTTGTTGTCTAGGTGACAGCCTTGTCTGGCATACTCCACCAGATACTATGTTAATGAATCGAAATTGAATCAATCCATTTATTTAAGGTACTTAGTTGAGTATATTTATACTGTATTAGCCTGGTAGCTGAAAGCATTGGTGAATCGCTAGAAGCAGAACCTGTGGAACATCCTCTCTCTTGCCGACATTTTCCATGTTCCAATACATTTCATGGCAATGACTTTGGAAACCAACCTTAGCTTCACTTTTCCCGTGGTACAAGGAACAATAAAGCAGCCAGAAAGTGCCAAGCACTAAATGATAATTTTAGTGACCATTTGCTCACTTAAAAAAAGCGAGACAAGAGGTACGTTTAAATAAAGCATCACAAAAGTAGGCAAATTGCATTCATTCGGTTGAGGTAACCACCAGCCTTACTAACAGTGAGCCGGACTGGACTACACTATTAGCAAACATGCCCTGCCTTTCCCAAAACTCCCCCAACTCGTGCGATATTGTGCAAAAGTTCTTACTTTTATGGTGATTTGAGTAACTGTCTATGACAACGTACCGAAAGATTCAAATTACAGTTGAAATAATGACTTTGAAGGGCTAGTATTTCGCATTCGAGCCGATTGTTTGTGTCCTCAAATTCCCCGCTTTTCTTCATCCTTTTCGTTCCATTAATTATGACTGAGCACAAGATTTACGAATTTAAAAACAATTGATGATTGACGCATAATAAAACTAGGCTTATTTAACCGACAAGTACCAGAGTTTGGACTTCCTGCCTCTCTTGTTATTCGTGCTGCTTGGAAGTCATTTTAACTGCTCCTGTGTGCCATCTAAAAAACAGCATGTAAACATGTAAGCTGGAACGACATCGAAGTGGTTGTGAAATTTTTTGCCGGCAAGAAAATCAGAGAGTAGGCATGGGGACGCTCAACTCTTCGTAAATAAAGCAAACTGTTTTTACACATTTCACAGTAGTCAAATAATTTCAGCTTGAACTCCATTTGATCAATTGTAAATTCCCGTTTAGGTAACATTGCGTCAAAGTTTGCCATCAGAACTTCATTAACTCCGTTAAAGTTGGTCATTCACCTTCTCATGCAATTGATGCCGCTGTCAGCATCGCGAACTTTGGGCCAAGCGATGGGATGATATTACCATACGCGTCGTCAACTGGAGACAAACGTCCAATTCCCAAGACTCATCAACTAGGTGCGTATAATGTGCACCCCTCTTGAGGTCTCCTTTATCCTACGAGCACAGCCGGGGTACATTTGAAATCGCTTGGCAGTGCTTTCATACCCGTCCTCACAATCGTCCAGTCTACCCGACTTCATTATGTCTCATTTAAAAGGCTGCATTGAGGTGTTAGTGAAGTAAAATGTGCGAAATTGCAGTTGGCAGGATGCGCAGGCTTTCCTAACTTCTCCACTTGCCACTGCTGATGTTGCTGCGTAAAATTTAATGCAACTGAAAATGTTTTTAGCGTGATGAAAAGCTTTGAGGGCGTTGCCAGTCTAATAAAAAGCAGACTGGCGCATAATATCCGATGAATATAAAATAATTCCGAGCATATAAACACCTCGTGAGCAAGGCTAATAAAAAAGTGTGTAATTTCAAAGCCACTTAAAACAATTTTATGGATTTCTTTGCTGTAACGAGATGGCGAACCTACAAAATAAAGCACTTCACTTCAGATGCTTTTTCATTTCTTTATGGCATTCCACCGATTGCGTTATCTGAAGCATAGTACAAAAGCGAAGCTGTCAATTGTACCATCACGTCAATGCCTCCATTTTCAATTCGTCAAACACGGAGCTAAAAGCACGTTTCGCACCTATGCCTGATTAACGACATCTCGTTTTGAAAGGATAGCGTTGCCAGCTGAAAATAGTTCTTTAATGGTAAGTGCTCCATGCGGGTATATATGAAATAGAGGCTGCCACCTTGAGGCTTTCACGTGCTTGCAGAATAAGCCTTTGCATTTCTTGGGTTGCCGCTTCGTACAAGAGCTGAAGTCTACTTGGAGTATTTAATGCTGGTAGGAATTTCACATTGCAAATCACTGTTTACGTCGAAATAACTCGTGCTAATCGACTTTGAAAGCTGTGCAATTAAAGAAGAAATCTTTAAAGCATTAAACAAGTGGGAACAATGAAAATAAAAGACGCTCTGCACTTATGCGCCCTTTAGTTATTTCAGTGATCACTTACTGCCACTGTGTTTCTAATAAGTGGAAATGCTGCTACTGCAATTACCTTCAATTTGATTGGGATTAATCAGTTCAACGTCTATTGTCGTTGCCGATGCTTTGTCGGTAATCAGGTATCCGCTGGGCATCCCACCCAAAATAGGAAAGTGTATATCAACATATGAAGGCAGAGCAACTCTTACTCCTTACTCAGCTACAATTTCTGGAAGCAAACTATTGTTACGTCCAATGTGGCTTGAAAATTTTTTAGTTTAAATCCCATTCGTTTACTTTCAGGCGCACAAAATCAAGGAGAAATTAAGTTGCGGGTCAACTTTCACATCTGTCCAACCGCCAGTCATTCAAGATTCCGCATATCTACTTCAGAAGATTTATTTGTTAGAAGGAGATTATTTTCAACAATGAGACATCATCCTTCCCCACTCATTAAATGAACGCAGACAGGTATCATCAACAAGGGGAGGGTGCAGGCGCTCGTGGGCTGTTTTTTGCAATCTAAGTAACATGTCGATGTAGCCAAAACAAACTCAAACCGATTTATTCACAAATTTAGCGCATGAGTTTAAGTGACATTAGTAGCTTGAGCAGGCGTGTGTCTTGCACCGATAAGGGCTCCTTGCAACTGAATTGGCGATCAAGAGAAGGTCGTGTTACCCAGTTTCACCCTGACAAAGCAAACCACCTCTGCGTAAGCAAAACAAACTCGTCCTAAATGTGTCCACTTTCAGACACATATCAGGCTATTTCATCTACTAAATTACCCAAATTGGCCGTGTATTCTAAGCAAAAATTCTGTGGGAACATTGTACAAGTGTTAAATTTATGGTCTATCTAGTAGCACGATTTGCCAATGTATCAGTCTACTGTCGAGCAGCCTTTTACAATCAAGCCAGCTATTGATACTAAACAAGAACTACCTGTGACTTCCCGCATTCTTGGATTCTGATTTAACATTTTGGTGATAGCCAACAATTTTTCACCACACCACCCACAAGTTCTTGCCAATAAGGACGAATGAGACGTCCGAGTAAGCGTCAGGGTGCTAACCACTATAGAAGGCCTTTCCGTTGAGTTCAAGCTCTACCGTTTATTGGAGAAGTGTGGCTATTTTCAGTTTAACCTTTGAAAGATAGCAAGCAGCGCAATATGCAAATCAAGAATGGAAGTTAACAGTCGAACAACACGAGATCAACAGTCCATTTACTTTCGCCAACCAGTCCTGTTTCCCCCAAAACACGCTGCGACACTAATAGACAGTGATGAGGAGTTACCGAAAAATGAGAGAACATTGACAGCCACAAGCAATAGATTTCGGTATTAGCTGCGTGCTTAGCTAAGCCTGCCAAAAACCACATACTACAATTTTGTACCGTTTCCTCCACTCCCATGGCAATTTGTACCGATGCATCAATGCGAGAAACTCGTAAACTTATATGCAATCTTCGTTGTTCAATAGGTAAATTTTTATAAAGTTAGCACAAGATTTGCCTGTGGTTAAAACCAACGGGACAGAAAAACAAAAAAATAAGTAAAATTAATCATTGGAACATCTTTTTGGATTACAAGGATAGAATTTCCTTTGTTAACCACAACCAGACAATGGGACAAAACCATCGCTGAATTACAGGTGTATTTGTTTTGTGCTTCAGAATTCTATCCGATCTTTAAACAAACAAAAAACCTGGAAATTAATCCGACGATCAAGCAGCCCATCCGTACTAAAGGCCCATAAAAGTCAAATGAACTGTCGATCCTTTGGTGAGGTGTATCTTGTAAAGACGCAATAAGTATTCAGTAGCATACTACCTAATCGTAAGCACTGAAAATCACCCCACAACTATCATTGCTAAAAATCAACCACCACAACTGAGGTGTCCATCACCAAAATGGTAAACTCAGTTTAATTGGAAGGAGGACTGGAATCGCCTCATTATTTAGGAGTATAAACTCGATAGGATGGGCATTTAAAGGTAATAGCAATGCCACCTCACAATTTGCATGCTTTTAAAGATCACCTCAAGCTATTAATTGCCAGTGAGAATATCTATGTGTGATGAATGATCAAATAAGATTTAGTTAAGGAAAGGGCAAACTAGCGAACATATTTGCCCATGCACCAACACATTTCAAAATGACGCCGCAAACACTGAGGATGCATCTGAGGCAAGTAAGGCAGCGCAGAAATCGACGAAGAAGGAACGCTGACCAATCAAGTGGCTGTAATTGAAGCCGAGATTTAAGCATACAACCAACGAATTCAATAGATCCTTTCCATTTCAAAAGCAGCTCCTTTTGGGTTACCTTACAGACCCTCTTCACCAACCATCACATTAAGTTAGAGTTTTGTCCAGTTTGGGCGTTGGCTCTAAGACCGGAATTATGCAATTTAACACCAATCCATAGGATTAGGGTTGCATATTTTCATAATGCATACGTCCTTAAACAGATTTGGTAGGAAACTCCATACTATTGATCTTCAGGTTATTTACACACAATATTGCTTCCTTCCGGAGCAAGAGTCTAAGATGGGTGTTGGCAGTGAGTACCACGGAGCGCTACCCGTAACAGGAGCACTTCTCTCGCACAGCTAAGCTTTGTTATTCAGCCCTAGAGTGCCAAGACGGACACTTTACTATAAAGTGAGTCACTTTTTGCAGCTACCAACGAAGTAATCTAAGAATTCCCTCAAGTAAAGGTCGACATGACACACGAACAGGTGACATGAATTCAGTGAACAGAGAGAGTCGCATACCCATGTTGGCGAATGTATAACGACTAATTGAATGGCTATTAGCCGATTACCAGAGTCAAGCAAGCAACCTATGACCCTCTTACATTCTGTCCAAATATTATGCCACACATAACCCTCAGATAAATCATTCGCCCTGGAAAGTGAAAAACCAATTATAAAGAACACTTATGCTAAACACCTATAATCCGCCAAAAAAAATACCTTGTTTGTTCGACTACACGTAAGACTGGCAGTGAATTTTGCTATTTGTCTTGCGCTTGTCTACATGGAATGGCCTTCTAACCAAGTCGAAGCCCGATTATTTCCCCTTCTCCCTTAATAAAAGCATCCAACCCTATCAGATGACTTTTTCACCTATTAGGAACTCTCCGGATGTTATACTGATAAATCTTTTACCTAAGTGGCGTAAACCCAACTCAACTCTTTAGAATGAAGAGCAGTTAAATGCCTTGGACGTCAACTAAGACCAAACAGCGATCTCATCCGATTTATTGTTGTAACGTCCCAAGATTTTCCATTTTGTAAAAGAAGGTGTTAAGTAAAGCTGAACACATGAATTCAAGGAGGAAGCGGGGAGACAAGGCTTTACCCCGGTCCGACCGCCACCCTATGCAAGCAGAAGCAAGATAGATACCAAAGTGACCGCCAGTCATACACGCAGTCAAGTAAACAAGGTATCATAATTACCAACCTTGCTTCTCTTTACAAATTGAAATTCTTCGAAGCAAGTACATCTCGTATGGAAGACAAAGGACAAAGACACAGTTACCGTACCAGAATAAGTACAAGAATGACGTTTACGCGCTCACTGATTTCCGTTACAGATATAAACGTTTACTTGAATGTATATATGATACGCGGCTACTCTGGCTTCCATCCTGCCTTTGATGCTTAGGCAGCCTACGGACTGGGATACGCCTTCGCATTACTTAATGTCTGAGTGGAGGTATTCAGCAAAGTCCACTATTTTCACCAAGGTGGGGAAGTCAAATGTCGTTAACAGTCACTAACATGTTGTGTGAACGGATTAGTTAAAAATCAGTTATTCTTTGTGTACATATCTCAAGTCCATGGCCTCTTTTATGAAGGCTGTAAAAGGCTTAGTTAAATATGGGCTGTTTCAAGGCCGAAAGAATGTTAAACGTTAAATGTTAAATTATGTTGCACGAAATTTGAGAATAATAATTTCCGCATAATTATCATCATTGTAACATTTAAATATATCCACTTCTCCTTGCCTTTTTTTCCATTCCCCGACTTTGACCATGAGTCTGAAAATAGGCAAGTGCAGGACTTTTGTTTTTCCACACCATAAGTGGGTGATATCAGTTGGTTTTGAGATTTTAACCAATTGGTCTTTCAGATTTTTCGCGAGTCTCCTCCGCGTCTAGTGCGTATTTCAGCAGTGATTTTTTGTCCTTTTCTTTTAAGATCTCTGCCACCCTTTCCTTTTTCCATAATAAGCATTACTGTTCACGACTGTGTTATTCATCGTTAGCATATTTTTTAACGAGGAAAGTGTGTTCACCTGATCAGATCGTCTATTTGCCAATGTATCTTGCTGGGCGTTGCTTTAGATTGCTTTATTGTGCGGTTTTATCATTAGTTGGGCGCCTTGGTATTCATTTCGTTCTTCAGAGCTGCGAAATATCTGGATATTGTGGCAATAGGCCAGCTTGTTGATTGTTCCCGAAACATGCAATTGCGTAGCTCTGTAGGAACTGTGCAAATTGTGTGAAGCTCTTCGGATGTGAAGCTTCAAAGTTGCCAACTGCTCGTTCTTTATTGTCGTGTCTGTTGTTGGTATTTTTCGAAGTCAGTCTGGGTTTCACTGCTCTCCATTTTTTTCTGCTTCTTTGCGGTTCCTCTCAATCCTTCTTTTTATGTGTCCTTCCAGTCGTCACCACCTAAATTTACGGATTCAGCAAATTCTCGTATCGTCAAACAGTTGGTCTATTCCATGTTGTTGCTCATTTATTCTATCGTTTATCTACGGGTATTGTATTGTTTTCGGGTTTCTTGTTTTTGCAGTTGTTTGATTTTTTTATCATGAATCGATGTTTCTTGCTGTCTCCGCTCCTAGGAGATGAACATGTTTATGTTAGATGATTGCGATTTCATGCTCCGTCTACATCCATATAGCAGCATGTCTAGTCTTAGAATATCTGCTTTATTCTTATATTTTTGACATTTCATCTGAATAATCGCGTGCCGATGTTAGGCCTGCACAGGTTGTTGTGATGTTTCCTATCATATTTAGTTAATTCTCCATGGCAATTTAAATCTCATCTATTTTACAAATTTTCAGGTAAAAGGTATGGTGTTGAAAGTAACATGTCGAGCGTAAGACATAGCAATCACTAGTTTTATGAATCCTGCATCATAAGATGTGTGTTAGCATCGGTAGCGCGTCATGTTATTGCGTTGGACACGCTTTTGACCGTACTGTTAAGTGGAGCATCTGGTATCCTTTGTAAAATTACTTCCCGTATCCATCAAGTACTTAAATGATTGCAAATTGATGCAACCTTTTTTGGGATCTTGGTGCGACTATTCATTTTTTTAAAATTAAGTAGTTAGTATGCTTTTGTTCTTGTGGTCTTCTGTTTTAAATCAATTAATTTTCTGGATTTTGTTGCCACCGTCCTGCAAAAAAAACTGTTCTGATACAAATGTGTTATGCATGTATTCTTGTCTGATAATGATGGCGTTCTCTACCTTACCAGTTTTTGCGATGAACATAGCAGAACGGAGGCATTGCGATAGGTTTTGCTTCAATGGCGGCTCCTGCTTTGAGTGCGCACGGGACCCTCACGGCCTAGCACAGTGTGTAGGATGCCTGTGTCCTCAACATATGTGGGCTGGTGAGCGCTGTGAGTTCCGCGTTGGACATGGGGGATCCAAGAGCCAGGCCGATATCAACTTCATCCTCACTTGCCTCTTTGCTTCACTCACTATTTTGTGCGCCTGTCTTGTCATTCATCTATACTTCAAGAACCGGAAACAGGCTCCGGATCCGCTTTTGATCCCGCTTGATCAGCAACTTCCAATGTCTTCATCGAAATAAGACTGAAATCTCGAATCTTTCAGCTGATAGAGAGGGTTTTTCCCATTCCAATGATTTCCTTTGTTATATAAGCGCTTATATACATTTGGCAACCATTTCAATCCTTGCTCTTTGCTTTGCTGCCATAAGCTCTTGCTTCTTGACATCTGGTATTCGAAATTTGGTTAACTCTGGACGGAAGTAATCTTATTTCATCTTGACGCAATTAGCAGGCTCCACCCTGAAATTGGTGTATAATGTTGTCGTTTAGCGGAGAATTCTTTTTTACATTGATCGAAATCAAGGCCCGGATGAGTGTTGTCTTCGGTAGGATAGTAACTGCCTAATGGTTCCAAGATGAACTTGGTTATTCGTAGTTTTTTTCACTTTACCAAAAGCATCACCTGTTATCGGGGCTAATGAACTGTTGACTAGTATAGCCCAGAATATAATTTAACCAACTGATGTGTGGACGCCGAGACGCAACTCGTAAACGCACGGCTAAACTATAAACGCTTAACATTTATGTGTGAACCATAGTTGATAGTGTTTACAGGTAATGTGTTCAATGCTTGTGCGCTTATGGAAGTACCATTTACCTTGAATCAGCACGAGATCCCTGCATACTTATTAGAACACTAGATGCGATAGGATTGCCGAGATCTGCCAATGGAGTTAGAGCTGAAAGTGCGTGTGGTCTAGACGACAACCAAAACAGGAGAATGCATAGGTAAGTGGGCGTTCTGTTTGGCAGGATGTTTAACAGGTAGAGCAGTTATATCATAGCCTGATTAAATCTCAACAGTTAGAAGCCCTATTGCGACCAAGGGAGGATTCGCAGTACAAGTGTGGTACACACCTTTGTCCGTTTGGTTATCGGTATAAGTGGGGATCACTTTGGGAACTATCTTGGTTTTTTGGATGACGTGGAGGGTCTTAGAAAGCTACATTGGGAAGCGAACTCGATCTTAAAACGCCTATTTCTCACCATTTGGCACAAATTATGTAGTGCGCATGAAATGCATGTAGTAGAGTGAAAACCTCTAATTTCGCCAAAACAATGGGAATGGGGACGACATCAATGTTTGGCATTTGTCTCATTTCCGTGTTCAGCAGGCAGTTGATTAAAAACCGCAGCAGCATATGTGAATCGTCTGGCAATTGTTGCACTCACGGTTCCTCTGATCGTGTCTGTTGGTAGATGTCAGCAATGCTATTTTACTGAGTACTCGCTTCACGGAGCCTTGCAAAGCTCGATATTTGCATTCTACCGAGCTGATTTACTCCAGTGATTCAAAGTCCAGTTATTGGCACACCTTGTCCAACGTATTTCTCGGTGGCTGAATCCTGTTTCTAAGTGGAAAGGTACTCTAGGTTCAGTCAAAGCTGCTAAGGGGAATCAGTGGTATTGAGATCAATTACTTCCTCACAGTAACGCTTCAAGACTTCCCATCGAAAAGAAAGTATTAAGTGGAGCTTAAAAGTGATTTCACGAAGGAGGTGAAGATTGGAGTCGGGCTTAATCGAAGGGTCAGTCCATGCAAACAAGAGCTTAATCAGTACTAGAATGATCGCCAGTCATATAGGCAAACAAACAAGTTATTATAACCCCATTCACATATGAGCTGATGACCTTGTAATTTGCAGCACCGGTTGCAATACTTTGTTTATGTGACTACTTGTAGGGTTTGCGGTCAATTTAGAGACCGTCTTGAATTAACCATGCGGACTAGCCTTTGGGTCAGACCACGGCGCCCTCCACTTTGTCGAAATGTAATCATTCAGCCACGCTCATTGCCATCTGCAGCAGAACTTGAAGCCTAGAGATGTTGATCCGATTACGCTGCGATTAATGGTGCAGGAGGTCCATTGAGGGTGGGAGGAGGAAACCACCTAATTCGGTGTTCCGGCGGGTGGGTCAACCATCGGGCGATTCCTAAACCGTATTTGATTTCCATTTATATGTATACCTCTCCCTAAATGGACGCATCCAAATGTTTAACAGAAAAACTCGACACGCCACAATAGGAATATGTATGCTGGTTACTTATTGGTCTCTGTCAATTGTGGTCACTTTACGTAGCGTAGATGTTGAAAAATGTGTCAAATTTTTTCCTATTACTACTTTATTGCACTTTTATGCACCAAATTAGTTTTTTTGCGTCCGTATTTGTAATGCCTTGCTCATTTGCCCTGTCGTCTTCGGAATACGTGTATCTAGCTGCAATTACAGACTTCTTATGCCAGCTAGGAAGTCTCGGGACGCTAAAGTGTGCATGACAGATTGCTGCCATATGTAGAGTCACGAGACTGCCAACTGTGATGAAGAAAGCATTAAGTTGGGCTGAATACATGCGTTTTACAGGAAAAAGAAGGGATTAGGCTTTAGCATGGTCAGACATCAGATTGTAATGCTTTATTTGCGCGACCACCTGACATTTGGCGGTCACATTAAGATATGTCTGGCCCTTATTTTCGCCAGCTGGCCCTCGGATCGTGCTAAAGCCTAGTCGATTTGTTCTCTTTGGAATACGTGTATCCAGCTTCATGTACCGCCTTCATCCACCCGGTGGGAAGTCTATGTGATGCAGTGTTTATGTATCCACCCGACGTTTGGCGGTCACTTTGGAATTTGTCTGGCCCATGTAATCGTGGTCTGACCTTCGGGTCGCGCTTAAGCCCAGTTGCTTCGTCCTCTTTGGAACGCATGTATCCAGCCTCACTTACTGCCTTCTTCCACCTGGTGAGAAGTCTCGAGAAGCTACAATCTATACAGATTGTTGCACTGCTAACTAATAGAACGTGCAAGATAAAACGTATTTTAGGCCAGAAATTGTCGCCCACCTACAAATAATCTTACCTTCCTGCACCTATAATTAAGTATGGAGCCTAAAATGGTAACAAACAGAATTGTCTTTTATCTGAAGGCGTAATAGTTGTGGCGTATCACGCCTGCATGCGTTCTTCTACCATATTCACTAGATGTTGTTAGTTTATGAAGTAAGGTTTAAAATAACGAATCGAGCTAATAACTTGCCTTACTTTGGCGCATAGGAGCCAATTAATTAAATAAGTTTCCTGTTTAAGTGGAAAATATGGTTTACGTTTAAATGCTTCTTTTCATATCATCAGCGCCGCCAATAAAAGGCTTAGGTGGTTTACGGTTTTTGCTATGATGGCTGTTACGTCTGAGCACGTTGACAGCGTCTTACAAGGTTTGTATTTTCAACAATTCCTCAATTGAAAAATATTGGGGCGCAAACTGCGTGTTTCAACCTATAGCATACCGTATGCATTACAAGGCATTAGCACAACTTACATATATTGTTAGTCACTAATCATATGTAGCGATTGACGTTTATCCTAAGTTATTAATGGGACTGTCATTATATATTTACTCATGTCGTAGGTGTCATATATGAAGATATATTTGGTTTTGCATTACATCCATTGGTCATCAAACCTTTGTTTTCCTTAATAGTGTTACGTGGCTTCAGTAAACTCTTCTTATTCTTGTAATCAGGATTTGTACCTTTAGAGAATGATTCTCATCTAAAGTCGAGTGAAGAAGCTCTTACTCATTTGGAGGAAGTCATATCCCACGTCATATCGGAGGCAGTTGAATACGCCGACAAACCGCCCGAAGAGCGAACTCTCCCTGCTCTTGTTAGGAAGTCTGTTACTCAACCTCGACGACCTAATGCCATAAGTAATTACAACCAAATTAGTATGTCGAATAACGGAACACAAATTATGGGATTTGGCCAGATGGGTGCCTACGGGTTTCCTCAAGTACAGGGGCAAGTGCAGTGTAATCCGCGTTTCGCAGGTATCTTCCCTTTGGTCTGTTATCACACCCTTTAGTTCAAAATACCGCGCTTTTGCAGCAATCGCCACAACGCATTATGGCGCAATACAATGGCATCCAGTCCGGTCATTATCATGCCCAAAATGCTCAACTTCACCAACAATATACTCAAGCTGCCCAACAATTTCAGCTACAACAGCAGCAAGCTCAGTACCAGATACAGCTGCAGCAGCAGGTAACTCGAAGTTTTGGATTTTAGCCGCTTGTTTGTTCCTGTCCTTCTGGCTTAGAATCACTTTGAGCATTTCGTTAGCTTTTTTTGCACACATCAGGAGCGAATGACCTGTCATTATGGGTGCTATCTATCAGATCCAGCATTTGGAATCACTTTTACAACCAAAATGTCCTTTGTTTAGTTTGCTGTTCAGATTTTAGCCATCAAATTGCGTTGCCGAAGCCAATTCGTAGACTTTTGGTGTTGCTTTTCCTTTTGTTTTGGGCGATTTGGTTACTCCAGCTACATGCTGTTCACTGTTTAATTTTTTTTGCAGTTATATTGCTCTTTTTTTGCTTGAAATCATTTGGCAACAATCTCGAGCTAATCTACAAGGCCTGCTTTATTTTCTCCGTGTTCTTCTACGTTTGTGGTATCTTAATGTATCCTCCACACCTCGAACCGGGTTTTTTTAATTCATGGGCGTTCTCTAGGTGTTCTGAGTATCGCCTATTTCATCAGAATCCCTACGCACGTCTAGTGAACTTTTCAAGTACTGTCCTATGCTTCTGTTGAGCATCCACTCTAATTTTTAGATCGGTTGAATTCTTAATTTCAGAACTGTCGGTAGTCTCTGTAGCGCCTTATCGCAATGTGTATAATTTTTCGGCAGACTCATTGCTCCACTAGTCACACACTTAGGCTGAATGTTAAATTCCTGCGGTACCGACCCGCTATACCATTTAACCCATCATGAACAGTAAGTTTTTGAAACGCTGCTTTCAGTTGAATGCAGGGTCACTTAACGAAGTTCACACTTGTAGGGTTAGGCTCTTCCTTTCGTGTATTGAGTATTCTTGCCCTGTTTTACGAATTTGGAGTGTGTTGCCGTACGATAAATTTACGTCGCTCTGTCCCTCTTCCCCGCTTGGTGTGTGCGCTCGCACGCTTGTCAAAGTGATTCGCTCGGGGACAATCCTACGTCCGCACAGCCGTGTGCTTCGTGCGTCCATGTGAGTGTGTGTGTGTGTGTGCGTGCGTACACACCAAAACGGACGTGCCCCACGCTCTTTCCTCGTCTGCCTTTTATCGATCGCTTGTCTGAATGTGTGTGCGTGTACGCGCTTGCTGCACGCTTGCGTTGTGCGCCCCCACCCTCTCAAGTCCACCTGAGTTGGACGCTTGTGTGCGTGCATGCATAGGCGCAAGCGTCGGTGTGCGTTTGCTCGCCTGCTTTCTTCCCAATCTACGTGCGTGCGTGCGTGAGTGCGTGCATCTCTTCGTGAATAACTCTTGACTTAGTCATCGCATTTGTACATGTGGGACGGTAATCCGTGCGCTTCTTCGACCGCGGGGCCGGAAACCTGGCGTTAAGTCATTGCCCTTTGACTTTTTGGACGTGGCTGGTTTTCACGCGCCCTGGGTTATACAAGAATATTTGCCTTTTTACGAGAGCTTGTGCTCGGTCTCACGATTTAAGGACCATTAATGTCATGATTCATTTAGTCCACGTAATTCGTGCTAGTTTTGTTTCCATTTCTTTTACCTACCACAACACATTGTAAGGGAACAACTTTAGCACTTAGAGAACCGAGAAACTATAGATCACTTTTTCTGCTTTTTTGCATATGCAACTATCTTCTCTTCAAGCTTGTTATACTTCTGAATAAGTTGTGAAGAATGGGGCATTAGCGCTAGTTTGAGTATGATTGCCGTCAGTAAGTGGGGATATTTTTTGCATGCCTTCCAAACCCGATGTTGCGCAGGGATTAAGCAACGGAAGTTTTGACCTGGGAGAATAAAATGTCTGGTTCATTGTCCTCTAGTTAATGCTTTGTTTCAAGACTTTCGGCCACAAGGTGGAAGGGGGTTGAACAACATCTGTTCAACTGGTGTGAGTTTCTCGGGGCGGGCAATTTTAACAAAAAGCTTTTTATTAAGTTCAACCAGTAGTTTGCAAGCTCTTTCACTATTGGGCATCCACTCCGCTTTCCTTCCAAATTGTATTGTCAGTCTATCTCGTTGAGAATAATCCAACAATTAACTTCAAATCTCCACCCAAATTATAGCGGGTTTTGTATCGTTAAAATTCTAGTGCCTTCTTTGGGTTGTTTGTATATTTTCAACTTTATAGTACTCATTGCGAAATAGCCATAGAGTAACGTGATTGAGATAGTGATAAGTGTCTATCTCGTTGTGGTTATTGTGTTGCGTTCAAACTTCTTACGCTTGTTCCTAAACGATAAGCTTTCCTTACTACCCCAGCTGCAATAAAGCAGTGTCTTGGGTGATTATCTGAAGAATGGATGTGCATTCGACAAAAGTAAGTAACTGCTTGTTTTACCTTTCCTTCTCCTGTAGCAGGCTGCAGCCGCTGCAGCAGCTCAACAGCAGGCAACGGCAATAGCCGTGGCTCAGCAGCAACAGGCAGCTGCGGCTCAGCAGCAACAACAACAAATGATGTATGCGGGCGGTGCATCCTTTTCTGTGGTCCCCGCGGCGACCCCCTCATCTGCTCCCACGACTGTCACTACCACTCCTCAAGCACCACCACCTTCAGCTGTCTCTCCCACTGTCAGTCAGCAGCAACATTCCCTAACACCTCAGCAACTCCACCAGCTCTCTGCTGCTTATGCCGCCGCTCATCAATTACCTGGTAGGTTAGGAATCTAGACAGCTGATACTTATCTGTTGATTGAAATCACTAAATCAGGCCTCGTTCCTTTTTCAGGTATGATTCAAACTTTTACACCAGCCCAACAGGTACAGGGCCAGTCCCAGCAAATGGGCACTGTGGCTGCACAGCAACAGCAGCAGCAACAGAGGTGGGCTGCTTCTTCCCCAGCTGGCGTCTACCAGCAACAGCAACAGCCCAACAATTCTTCGGATGCACAACAACAGCAGCAGCAGCAACAGCAATTCCTCCATGCACATCAGGTCCAAGCTCAAGTTCAGGTATACCTTCCCAGTCTCATTTGCCTCCGAACGGTCCCTAAGTCCTTCTTAGTTTGTCGTTGAAATATTTCATCAAATACTTCAAACTCCAAAATTAACTCTTTCAAGTCGTGCACATATTCAAAGCATTCTGTGAATTCAGGTTGAATATGGTGTCCAAATTCACCCTGATAAATATTTATCAGACGAGCGTGAGGTCCCTTTCTGTATGCTCTGTGAATTTATCTGTTCCATTGAATGTCCTACCACCCATACTTTTTTTGCGTTGCTACAATGAGCAAGATTTTTGAGTGCATTCACCCCTACTCCGATTTTAGGCACAGGCACAGCATCAATATCTCCAAGCCCAGGTGCAGCAGCAGTTGCGATCCCAACAGCAGCAAAACGTCTCGAATCACCATTCTTTTGGGTGATCAATCGAGTGCGCCGTTTACTCTTACAGTATCTGAACCGATTCAGCTCTGAGACAATCTGAGCGTTCGCGGTGTTTTATCTGCTTTTATAATGCGCACTCCTTTGCATTTTAAAGTTCATTATTGTCCCATCCTTTACGTACCTAAACCCGGCCCACTCAGAGATACGCCCTGGGATTGCGATTTTTTTACTGCTCGTTGTCTTGTGTATACGTGCAACACCCTCTCCCTCTGACGCAGACACCCCTGTGCGGACGTACACGGGTAATACGCTCGTCTGTATAGTGTTTCCATTCCTCTAATACCTCATGCCTCTGGTACAGTTGACAGTGGTGCCTTGTGCCTCTTTCCTTCCTCCTTTGTCCTCAGAATCGAATTCCGAACATCTGCGCGCGAATCTCGGGCGCTGTTGCCGATAGTTCCCATGCCATACGCTATTCTATGTAATACATACGCATTCGAGTACACATAAGCCCACCAATTCAATGATGCCTTTTGTAAATGATTCTTCTCACGATTCTTTCCCGCTTATCTTGGACAGAAAAGCGCGTGCTCGAGGGCAGTTCAGTCTATCGCTCTGCTTCGCTCCTCTCCTTGGTGTCTTGCCGTTTTTCTAACAACGGTAGCATTTATCTATGAACTTATGTAAGCCCATATTTTAAAACTCGACGAGACGATTTGTGTGTCGCATCGACACCCTTTCACCTCCCCTTCCCCACTTTTTTAAAGTCTATCATGCTGTCTTATCTTGTAGATTAACGAACAAATGTGACTACCATCATCATCATTTTTCCTTGGGTTGTTACTGTAATTTCAGCTCAATACTCTAGCGGGTTGTTCCAACATTTGGATGCTCGGTGAGGGAATTCGTGCTGCTTAACTTGTCCCACAGTAGGCGGCGATCGTGATGAATGATCCCGACTTTGGTAACCGCTGCAACACAACCCGGTGGTTGTTTGTCGCCATGCTTCGTTATTACTTAATCTCGACGTGAAGATTATGAGTTAGCCGGTCTGGGCGAGCCGCGCGTTCCTGCGGAAGGTTGATCCCCCTTGAGGTGTGCCGCTCAACTTAGGGCCCGTATGCAAACTTATATCTGGGCTCGGTTGTAGGGGATGAGTTGGTTTCGCCTTTGGGTTGCGGATTTGGTTAAACTGCGAGTGGTAGTGCTGGCTAATCTAGGCACATCAGAGGCTAATTAAATGCGAGGCCTTGTACCAGCGCCTGATGAGTGATTTCAACGTACAGTAGTTGGTCGTTGCTGTGGTTCTGCACCAGTAAAATGAGTCCTGGTCCAGTTGATGAGTCTTTTTGCCCACATTATCAGCTGTACTGGAGATTTGTGTTCCACTCTCCGGCCATTCAACTAGCCATTTGATTGGGATCCGGAATCAGTTTTGCTAAAATGTACAACTTCTCTTCTAAAGACGTTAGATAGTCTTCGTGAATCGAGTTCGGTCCCGCGTGTATTTTCTAGTCCCAAGAAGGTGCTGCTGAGTGCCGACTTTGACTTCCGCTTTAAGCCTAGTGCGTCCGTGATGTTATGCTGTCATTTTTCAGGACTTGATACGATCCATCGACAGAAGTAACTAATTTAAGGTGAAGTGGGTGTTGAAAAAAGTGATGCAAAAGCACTAATGGAGACTCAGAAATATGACAGCAGAGACAAACCCATTGGACGCCGCATAGCCGGCACAGCATAAATCAAACACACACCTAAAGATGGCCTAAATCAGAGTAAAATCTCGAATTTTTAACCTAAGTTTGGAGATATACAATAATAGTTACTCTGCACTTTGCCGCATCAAGCAATGGAGTCCGTCCATCTGATTTGCAGAGTGTACAGCTGCTGCGAATGCACTAGGCCCTTTCACAAGAAAAGGAGCAAACCCCTTCACTTTATCAGTATATACAAAATAAAGTTCAAATCAATACCTCCCATTGGGCATTATCGTCTCATTCCTCTAATCACTTCTGCTTCTTCCTAGTTTTTGGAGCAATGCTGTAGTTTCCAACACTTCTTTCCCTCGTCTTTTTTGCACTGCCACCATTTTCACAGAGATTCTTTCTCTTCGTGGCAGCGGAAGGGGAGATCTCTATGGGCGGTCCCTGAACTTCCAGACCTGGCAGTTTGAAGGAAAGAGGGCGTTGAATCCGCACCCAATCCACCATTTCTGCGGCCCAGATATGTAGCGCTTCTAAGGCCGACTGTACATCCACAGAAAGAAACAAACCAGTGGTGGATTCGCGGTGACAAGCGAAGCCACCCGCCATACAGAGGTTAGGCTCGGTGAATGACTTCAGTTCACGCAGGTGGGCAAACTTTGGGGCATCCTTTATACGTAACCCTATCCAGCGCCCAGAGTGACGATCCCACATGTACTCAAACAGTTCCCACTTGTCAAGTGCTGCCTAAAGGTGGATAAAATAACTGTAATAGTGGCATGCCCATTTAAGATTCAGTACACGAGAAATGCTTTAAAGCCTAGTCAAAACGAGGCGCCATCATCGCCTCGTTTTCGTATAATGATTGTTCCGGGATAAATTAAGGTGTTAATGTAAGATAAGGAAATCTGAAGGTATTTTAACGGCTGACGGTAAACAACTATTTTGGCATCACAACGCAAGGCAGATTACTCACCGAAAAACGTATAGATTGAACTTAACCTCAACATAAACCATTTCGGACATCCAAGTTCTTGGAATTTAAGTACTGCAAATGGTTTTCGTTTTTAATTTTGGCGACGTTCACGTCCCACCTCCATGGTCATTTACGAAATTTCAAACTTGCTTTGTTGTTGTTCTTAAGGCATGCTTTAATGGCATTAAGGAATAAATCCAAGCTTAGCTCTTAAGTGAATATAAAGCGCTTTGAATGTTGTTTGGCTAGCCAGCTTAAAAACATCAAAATTCACTCAACTCGACCAGTGTTAATTTCATTTATGTACGTTCCAGAGCCCCGTGCATGTACCCACAAAAAATGGATAGCCCTGCCTAAAATCGTGAGGGCAGATGTTTATGCTGCTTCAACTCCGCAATGAGAGTAGAGACAACGCACCTGAACGTGGCGCAGAATCCAAGTGACAGGGTCACAAAGGTAACCCTTTGGCCAATAACTTGCACCGGGGTGGGGAAGGTCGAGAGTCACAGGATCGGGTTCCTCGGTAACCACTGTGCCTTTGGGAGCAGCCTTCGATTTGTCATTCGTAAAAGGGGTTTTCTTCAGCACCCAACTTGGAACTTCAAGATCGACAGCTTCCAAGATACGAGTCTTGTAAACAGAGGGTCTAAGCTTGATTACAACATCCATCTCCGACAAATCCGGTCGAAATACCGCCTGTAGTAAAAGTCACCAAAATATGCAAGCCGCGAGTCAGTGCCACGCGCCCCACAAGGCACGCAGTATGATGCTTTACAGCTTTGTTTTTTTTTCGATGCTTCGGTCCTACCGGCTATCGATCAGCACACTCAACAGACTGCATTAAAGAAGCCGTAATGGAGGCTGTGGCTATATTGGATAATATTAACATTAAAATGGCGATTAACAAACAGTCATTGAAAAGGTTTATGAAGTATACGAAGTCGAATTTCAACAATAGACAAACTGATTAAAATAAATCATCGTTCAAATTCTAACTCATACGAAAACGCGTTGCGATGGTAGCTAGTATAAAGGCTGATATTCATTTTGGATCGACCATAAATAGCACAGAACCTTTAAGTCTGAAATGTTAGCACCGGCAACCAACATGGCTCGGAGTAGTTCATACGATTGCATCGCCAGTCTTTGAAGACGTTTGAGGCCCTCCGCTGAAGGACCTTGGAGAGTCCACTGAGTGCCTGAAGGGTCAAGCGGAGTAGCGATTACCATCGCAGGCAACTCAGTGCGAGGATTCACCTTGAATGTGGTCACGATCGCGCCAGCTCTCTCTTGACCATCCTCTGCAAGTGAAATTGACGTAGCCTACTTCTCAACGCAATCTGGTCTACATGGTGCACGAGGGAATCAAAAGCTAACTTACTCCCCGAGAACCCATCGTTTAGGTCAACCAGAAGGATATCATTTGTCCAATCGAATGTATATAAGAGTCGAAGAAAACGCAAAAATGTCGCCATTGACGAAGAAGAAACGAAGTTGTCCTCCGTGGCACCCGGTAGGCACGCTGAGTAAGATTGGGTTTGGACGGCAGGAGTGAAGCCGCCTGCATGTACGACTAGCAATTCCACAGCTATTTCAGAAAAGCGGCACTGCGTTGAACCGAGATCCGCATCCCCCAAATGGACAAGTTGGGAATCAAGCCCGCACGGTTCAGTACACAAATCAGGGCATTGGATAACCGGATACCCATGTGCAGAGAACCATCTTTTCGCCAGACGACAGGCTTCAGGAAATGTATGCGAATGGCTTCTAGAGATGGCTACCAAATGAGCAGCTACAGTAGGTAACCACTGATTGAACACCAGCCATCTGCGTATTGCCTCCGGCTCTTTGGTTGGGTGGTTTTGGTCACTTTGGAATGACGCCTTTACACCTTCTTGTTTGTTCAGACCAGAAAATTGTCTCAACAATGAAAGTTCAAGAGGCTGACAGAATCCAATCCGGAGAACAATACCGTTCTAAAATAGACCTAGATTTGTATTCAAGGAAAACATGCACCAACATTTCAAGTTAAACTAACAATAAAAATGTCTATCAGTCCAGAAGAAACTATTCGAGATGGAACCCCAATGTAAACAAGCAGTTCCTTGATGCGAAGGAGAAAAAGACGCTTCATATGAAAAAAGGCCAGGTAGTTATCGCGCGGCCACCTGCTAGAGGTTTCAATGTTCATTATGGCTGAAAGAAAATGAAGGTTTCGAGGCAAGCATATGAAAAGAGCGCATGCGGAACAGAACACATTACTTACCATATAGAGGTCGGAGAGCGTGATGAACGTCATGCCACACGCCATTTGTGAGAGGTTTCGACTTCTTTAGAGCAGTACTAGGCACGGACACAATAGGAGCAAAGACAGAAGTTTCGCGAAATTCTGCCGACACACCTTGCATACCCATAACGTTCAAAGGAAGATGTTTATTAAAACCACATAAAACTGAAGTGAGTTTATCAAGGGACCGAACGAGATGAAGCCCGCTCGCCCGAGATGGGAATCGTAGGGACGCATGGCAAGGCGAAAGCGAACGCAGCAGACCACTAAGTTGCGTGGACGCTACATGATGCCAAGACCCTAAACCCGGTTTATCGATAGACTTGAATTTCCTGAAGCAAAGTATGAAGTACTAGTTGAGGGTGGGTGCGAGTCGGAACAACAAGGCATTAAAAACAACTTACCTAAGGATGATGTAGTCGATTATCTGTGACGTAATGTTCTTTGAGGAGTCCCAAATTACGCATTCAAACAAATCCCCACCAATATGTCTTATCTCAGATTTATCCCCCCAGAAATCCCTGAATTGCTTCCCGACGTCAGTGCCGCTTCTTGGACCACGGATGATCGGGCTAAATGACATTGACGAATCTAACTTCAGACCAATAGCTGGTAAGCTTTTCTATTTAATAAAAGTTTTAAATCTTACAAACCTTCGATCTTAACGGTATGTCCATACACTTTATGGCTGTGACACGCTCAGTCATAGCATCAACAATAAGAGATGCAAGTTCATCAAGCCAACCCATACAGGGTGCACACTTCGATGAAGAGTCAAAGTGGGACTGACGCCCAGCGCAAGTAAATCTAGAAACGTTTAGCTGAGAATAACCTTACATTACTAAATGATCGTACTTCTCTAGCGGATCCATCAAACAAATGTAACGTGCACGACCAGAGGGCGACAAAACAAATTCATGGATCATTCAGTAATTAATGTTGAGCTGACTGTAATTGTTCTACGGAACATGTTAAAAGAGCTAAAAAATTGGTGTTAATATTTCTGCGGTGGAATCTTGCAACCCATCTGTATTTTTGAGTTATGGCTTGCGAGTCGACATCCACTAACAATCCGACCTTGCGGAAAGCTCCAGTGCGAGCACTCCAATAAGACTACTATCATTCCTAATTCTGTCAAAAAAATGAGCATAAAGATCAGAATTGTATGGTGTTTTGAAGTATTTGGTTGTAAGCATGTTGTTGGGTTGCGCTAGATTACAAGTCCCACGCGGTCCCGCTTCCGACATAGTTCTTTATGTGCCTGCCCATAATTCAAATTAGAGTTTTAATTTGGTCATCTTTTGGGTAAATTATGACTGACTGGTTGTTTTAGCTATCTCTTTGCGCACTTAGGTGCCTTCCGATCCGTAGCGCCTGGATGGCTCTGCGCGTGTTTGCTGCGTGAGCTTTTGCAGGACAGACGTTGCCCATTTTCTTTAACTTTTTCGGTTTCTGATCGTCTTTCAAGGTTTGCATGTGGTTTTGCCAAAGATTTTGACTCAACATCATGCATAGAGAGTCTTCCGTTTACTTCTTTTAATAGCATCGAAGTTCCTTTAATTTCGTGTTGCGTTCTGAATTACCCTGGAGGTTGTTCTTCATTGTATTCACTAAAGCCTTGTTTTGCATTTGTGTATGGTTCTTTGCACTTGAACTTGACTTTGCGCTGCTGTGCTTATCTGCAGAATTTGCAAGAGTTCGCATTTCATAGGTAACCTTATCAAAATAGTAGTATTGCTTAGTTATTGGATGTCGCCACCGGTGCTTCGTAGAACTTTTTCTGTTTTAGTTGGGTTTTATTAAACATTTACGCAAGTTGTTCTTCACCTGCAATATGTTATGCAGTGGACAGTCTTTTGTCTCCTCAGTCACAATGCGAACTTTTGATTCATCGGGAAATCTCGCTCTTCTCCGCCAAGAGCTGAAAGTTCGCCAGCTTGATGCTTTTATTCTGCCAATGGAAGACAGTCACTTCAGTGAATACCTTGCTGCTGCGGATAAACGCATAGCCTTCATATCCGGTTTCACAGGATCATCAGGTACTGCTGTTATCACGACTGCAAACAGGGCGGCACTATGGACTGACGCTCGCTATCATAACCAGGCAGGCTTCCTTCACATTTTCTGTAGATATTGATGCAGTCATGGCAACATAAGTTAATATTTTTTTTTGCATTGCTTGCGCGTCTAACCCATTCTAATCATGTAGTTTAGTCAGTGCAACATGAAGTTTCCGGATTGTTGAAGTTTTTTATCAAGTATGCTATTCAGGTTTGTGTGGACGTTGTAGGCCGCACAGGAACTAGACACGAATTGGATTTTGATGCGTGAAGGCTGTCCGGACGTTCCAACGATACCTGCCTGGATAGCCCAAGTGACTGATTCAGGCTGCCGAATCGGCTTCGATCCTCAACAAATGTCCTTTAACAGTGTCGGCATTTTGCAGCGCCAGCTGGATTCCGCCTCCATAGAGGTGAAATCAAATCGCTCTTTTGTTCCGATCGACGGAACGAATCTGGTAGACCTTGTGTGGAAGGATAGGCCTTCTCTTCCTACTAATCCCATTCGTGCTGTCCCACTGGAATCCTTTGCGGGACATTCATGGGAACAGAAGCTGGATACTCTTCGCGACCAAATGAAGGTGAAAGGCGTCACCGCTGCTGTCATCGTTCAGCTGGACGAAATTGCTTGGCTGTTCAACCTGCGTGGGTCCGACATCAATTACAACCCCTTCTTTTTTTCCTACGCGGTTGTGACAATGGACGATGTTCACCTATTTGTTGAACATAAGCGTGGCTCGAACTCCATTGATCTCAATGAATATTTTAGATCACCGTCGCACAGAGTTAGTCCTCTTTTGTATCTTCTACTGTTTTCAATTACGTGACCGTTATTTACTCTCAGATTTCACTTCATCCGTACGACGAATTTCCCTCCTGGATCACCTCAAACACTGCTTGGCGAGATGGGCGTGTTTGGCTGCCTTCCGTTTCAAGTTATATGCTAGCAAGCGCGATTCCCGAAAATCAACGGCTCTTTGACATTTCTCCAATTTCTAGTCTTAAAGCTGTGAAAAATCCTCTGGAAGTGAAGGGCATGCGACTTTCCAATCTCGTTGACTCATTGGCTGTATGTGATTTCTTATCCTGGCTAGAAGACGTTGCTGAATCCGGCAAAATGGATCCGACGGTTGTTGCACCCTGCGATTTACTCGGTGTGGAACCTCCAAAGATTGCGACGGAAGCTTCTGTCGCAGCATATCTTAATGCGATTCGAATTTCTGCGGATGGTTGTCTTGGACTTAGCTTTCCTACGATTCCTGGGGCAGGTATAGCTCTCTCTCGGTTTTTTTTTCTTTTAGACTCCTTACTTATCCGTGCGTAAGCCATCTTTCCGTAAACCAAGACCTCATCACATTTGTAACTAAGTTCCATTAGTCCCTTCTCTTCCCCTCTTCCCTCTCCTATTTTCTTATTGATATTTTTCTAACAACAGAATGAGATTCGATTGTGACCTTTTTATGCAACGTAGAAGTTGAAATGATCTTATGGTTGGCAAACGCGCGGCACCTTGAAAGTGAATCATACCACGTGGAATAAGGTCATCATCTTGGAGTCTACGGAAAAATACATTCTTTTATCATTAGCTATGTTAATTGTTCTTTTAAAATGGTCAAGCTGCAACTATTTCGTGAACATTCAGTACAATCCCATTAAATTACTTTTACTCACATTTTTAGATGCGAATGGAGCTATAATTCACTACAATGTCAGTGAAAATGGTAGTGGTTCTCAGTTGACCGTCGATTCTCTCTTTTTGTTGGACTCTGGTGGCCAATACGCAACCGGCACAACTGATGTTACGCGAACTGTTCATTTGGGAGTCCCCACAGAGGAGCAAGTGGAGGACTATACACAGGTCTTGAAGGCTCATGCTTCTCTTGCTAGCTTGGTACGTGGTTATACGGTAATTCGTCAATTCTTTGAAATGTGAATTACGATTTTGATCGCTTGTAATGGTTCTTTACATAATGAAACTACACTCAAATATTTTTCCACTCGAGAACAGATTCGGGTTCATCAATACTCAACATTTTGAGTAAAGTTTGAATTATATGCTTTAACAAAGTAAGCGTGTCAAAACTTTCGTGCTTGAGATTGAAGTAATCTGATTAGGCATCTGAACTCGAATTTGCTACGAATTGGCTGCCCATTCCTACTTGTACTCACAGACCTTCCCGGACAATACACCGGGGACGAAGCTAGATGCGGTATGTCGGGCCTCGATGTGGCGTGATCGGCGTGACTTTCCCCATGGCACTGGTCACGGTGTGGGTGCTAACCTCTGCGTTCATGAGGGACCCATTGGCATGTCTGGACGTCGTTCGCAGACTCTCTCCGCCATAGGCGTCACTGAGCCTGGAATTCGCAAAAACATGGTTTATATTATTGTCACTGCTATGTTTATTTTTGTACCTTATC